TGATTTGCTCGGCAGTCTGGGAGGTGGGGGGGGGGGGGGCAGTGATAAGGGTAAGTAAGAACTTTTCTATTTCCCAATAAATTTTTATTGCTTACCATTCATAGGAGATAATCAGTTGGGTCGATAAAGCACTCAGACTTTTCCTTCCGTTTCTCTGCCATCCATCTTTCCATTCCTTTTAGACAGAAGATGTTATAATTCAGTGCAACCAAGTTTGTGCAGTTAAGCCTTGTAGGATACTATTCCAGATGTCATCAGGGAAAATTGATGAGGCAGTAACCTTTGTACTTCCTCACTTGGCCATTAGTACCAAGCTACGGGTACCTTGTGCTTATCCACTATGAGTTAAAAATTAATAGTCATAGATTAAATGTATCACTTTTTATCTGGATCTCTTCTCAGTTTTGTGGCTACAGGAGGATCCAGTGCTGGCAGGAGAACTTCAGGGGAGCGTGGTTCAGTGTGTGCTGGTAGAATGGCAAACACAACAGGACCTGCTGCTATTGCTGCAATACAGTCAGGTGTATAATAACAGAATCTTGTTCAAAAATAGAAGTTGTGGCTGGTGAAAATCCAGTTTTGAACATGAGAAGATAAGACACTGTTTCCATGAATCTGCACCCGCAGTAACATGAAACAAGACCTGGAAAGCCACAGAATATTCCCATTTATTTTAACAGATTGTTAACTTTTGACATTGTTTTGATTGTTTATTTTATATTGTTTATATTGTTATAATTGTTATATTTTATTATTTACTTTGTTATTTTACTTATGTTATTTTGATATAAAGGTTATAGACAACAAATTTGAGGCACTTGCAGCAGAGTGCTGCTTGGAGGACTGCTGCTTGTGTATTTTGATGCAATGCATGTTATGCCTAACTGTGGAATTAGGCTGAAATTTTCAGATTTATAAGGCTATTATACCATTGTCTTTTCTGGGAAAGAAGCTGCTATACCTCTTAAATCTAGTTCTTGTTTTGTATGTGGAATTTTTTGTCAGGTTTCCCTATGGAATAGGCAGGCATCTTCACTCATCTTTAAAGATATCTGCCCTGCTTTGCTTGCAGTGCTGGTTATTTTATCAGTTGAGCCAAAGAGAAAAAAGTCACCAAATATCAGTCCTTCCTTTTGGATGTAAATGCATCTGTCTTGTGGGTTTTTTTCAGCCAGCAATGGGAAGACAAGGGAATTGGTTTTGGCAACCACAGCTGTTTACTGGCAAAGAACATGGCTCCATTTAAGATGGCTGTCCTTCCTCAGATAAAGCGTTTTCTTGGAGCACATAGAAATCATATATATATATATAGTGCACCTTAGATCATTCTCTTTCACTGATCTGCTGCTTGTGGTCACTGCATAAGGAGGAATTACCCATTGCCTGGGATGCTTTTCAGTGCCATGAACTTCCAGATGAGCAGAGAATAGCAGCTGCATTTGGATTGCTCTTCAACCTTCTGAAGGACCTGGTGCCTCTTCACTAGCTAGGACAGGTGTACAGTCCATGGCACCAGTCTGTCATTCTCCAGGTATCAACATCTAGTGAAAACTGGGTTATTCCTTAAGCAGAAATTTCAAGCCAGCAGCTTTGTTCCAGGATTTGAGCAGCCTGAAGCCTTCTGGCAGCAGACAGAGCCAGATGAATAAAAGCTGGCACATGTTCAGCTAGAAGGCTGCCCTGGTAAGGCTGGTAGTGAGAAAATACCAGAAGCAATGCCTTGAAGAAGCAAAAGTCTGTTCTGGACTCTGCAATAAACTGTAGACTGGTGCATGTAGCTGTAGGTGTCCTAAAGTTGTGTATCCTTTGGTGTCATCTCTTTGCCATATGGCTTTCTGGCTGTGTAGTGCAGCAGATGTGCTATCAAGTGGTTCTGCCCTGGGACATGAAGGTCTGGGTTTGTAACAACAGGCTGAGAACTCTACTTCTAGTTAGACAGGCATCAAGGAAGGTCACTGCTTCATCATCAGTTGATGACAGTTGATAATACAGCTGTTAGTGTAGAGAAATACCTGGTCTTCAGGGGTACTTTCTAAGCGTGTGTTTTCTCATGTATTTTTTTTTCTCTCTGGCTCTATCAGCTTTGCCTTGCATTCTGCTGACTGTTCAGCACTGAGCTTGTTCTCCATGGCAGGATCTTTTTAATTTTATTCCTGCTTTTATTTTATTCCCTCAATTTTCCTACATCCTTTCAGAAATTGATCTAGCTTTTCCTCTTCTGAGGAAGGTATCATTTTGGCTAGTGGCAATTACAAAAAGACCTGGAAAACATTAGCAGTTTGGCACTTTTTCTTTCTCTACTCTTTAGAGATTTTGAAATGTATACATGTCTCTCTTTGCTGTCACAGGCAGGTAATTTCCCTTTGCTGGATGTCAGCCATGTCTGACAATCAGGGTAAATGAGACACAGTGTGATGTGAAGAAGTTTGATATCACAGGGAAGCAAAGGTGTGATGAATCCGCTTCTTTTCAAGGATCCTTCACTACTAAAAGTAGCTCAATATCTGTATGCAGAATAAACCTTGGATAATAAGTCTTTCTCCAGGGTCTGATCCAAGCCCATTGAACTCACTGGGAGTCTTTCTATTGACTTCAGCTGGCTTTGGATCAGACACCTGGCATCTATCTGGATTGTGTTTCTGTCTATTACTCATCCTTCAAACTGGAGGAGATGGTCCCTGGTTAACATGCAAGAACCTCCTGGCAGGAAGAGGGACGTACCTATTGTAAGTGCTGAATCTTTCCAAGTGATTGATTAACAGCAGCGTAGTCGATTAACCTTTCTTCTTCTGAGAGCAGCTTTCATCTAGTCATCTCGATAAGGCTGAAAGCAGTCAAGGCCTTTATCAGGGGAGGGCTGCAGAACAGGATGTTCCCCAGAGGTGATTGGTTCCCAATTCTCTCTGCATAGTGAATTTAGTGAATTCAGCAGACCTTGAGGTCAAGCATTTATTAGGCTAAGAGACTGTCAAATCAATCTGGTCTACTCCAGGCTAGTTCTACCAGGAGAATGGGTTTTGCCAAGACTCTGTCTAAGAAATAGATTGATGACTAACTCCTGGTTGAAGCTGCCTTTCTCTTTTCCATTTTCCGTGAATCAGATTTTTTCCCCTCACTGACACCAATATTTTCTCCCTAGACAAATTTTATTAAGGAAACTCCTGGAAACCATCTATAATTTAAGTCACAGGGAGACTTCCAAACTCTGTAGCCCTTCCATTCTGTGTTAAATTGACCCAAGGGCTTTCTCTGAGACCTTACTTTTGACCACACCTGATTGAATTACATTTCTGGAATTTTCCTTTCACCCCTTCTCTCCCTCCCCAGCCCCCTTAAAAAAAAAAAAAAAAAAAAATTGAGGATATTTTCTAGCAGTTGTAACAGGCAGGGTTCCTGATTTTCCCTTCACAACGTAACTTCTTATTGGAAGGAGAAACGCATTGTAAAAGCTGCATGGAACAAAGCCTGCAGCACAAATCAGTGTATTTTGTCTTGCCTCTGTTTTGAGGTATAGATCCTAACTCCCTTGTAGATTCCTCGTTTGCAGTAACCAGTCCTTCATGTACCATGATTGTTTCTAATTTACATTCACCTGCTACTCAGATAAAATCACA